TGCAGGTGAAAGGACTTTGGCAGTGTTGGTGCTGTGCAGTGAAAAGTACAGGCCGTTCTTTGCATTGTAGTGTAATGCTGTAAAAATGAAAGTGCAAGTGGAATCATGCGGAGTGGTCTCAATGATGAGAAAAATGTTAATTTAATGACTTAACACTTCTTGTCAGTGTTAAAAATTAAAAGCTCTCTTGTCGACTGTACTTGAGAAATGAAAAAATAGATGCTGTAATTTAAAACATGTAATACTCTCAACAATAAATATTTTTTTAAAAAAGATTTTGTTTCTTTGTAAAAAATGTATCAAAATAATTTGAGCAGTACTTATTGTCTAGTGATATAACTTATAATTCAGAACAAATATCTTTTTTATGCTTTGGCAGGTGTGTGTGTGTGTGTGTGTGTGTGTGTGTGTGTGTGTGTGTGTAGTGGCAGGGGAACAGGTGGTCTGCTGGCTTCAGGAGACAGCGGCCATAGGAAGGGCATTCCAGGTTGAGAGAAATCCAAGCAGGAACACAGAAATGAGAAGTTTCAAGACGTGTCAGGAGAGGCTCAGGTTCATTAGAGTGAAATGAAGCCTGACAGGTAGCTTAAAACCAGCCCATAGATCGAGGTTCTTAGTTCCCCTTACTGAGTGCCTATTTCATACCAAATGTAACCAGTGAGTTAGGATTTATTTTATGAGGGATTTTGAATAGTTTTACTTTTATATGTTTGCAATACTCATAGCCAAATTTGAACAATACAAAATTTAACAAGATAGTAAAAATTCTCTTCATCCTGAGTCTCTTTGCACAGAGGTAATAACTTTTAGCAATTTAGTGTGTCTGCTTCTGGACTTGTAACTACGCATATACAAAGAGTTACACATTTCTTTGAAAGGCAGGATGATATAGCATATATTGCTGCACAGCTGAGTTGATTAACTTAATCTAACACGTTTCTGTGCCAGTGAGTCCAATTGACCTCATTCTCTTAAAGGCTGTGTGGCAATACAGTACTCAGATATATGAACTGATCTAACAAGATTCCTGGATTTAGGTTATTTCTTGCTTTTTAGTTACGATGCTATAGTAAATATTCTTGTATATTTATGCATATCTGTGAGTGAAATATATAGAAATAAAATAGCTGGATCAAGGGTTTTATAATTTAAAATTGACATTTTACCAAATTGTCCTTCAGTAGGCTATAATAATTTGTTTCCCTTTATAGTGCCCATAACTATTTATATTTTTAATCTTTTCTAGTTTAATTGGGGAAATGTCTTAATTTGTTCTTATTGGGTCATTAATGATGGGAAAGCATCTTTTCATAACTTTGTTGGCCATTTATATTTTTCTTTTGGGAATTGCTTGATCCGGAGTTTTGCAATTTTTAAAAAATCTGCTGTACTTTTTTAAGGTTGACTTGTTGTACCCTCTAAAATATGGGTAGGAGCCCTTATAATCATTAATTCATACATTCTTCAAATAATTGAGTGCCTGCTGTGTGCTGGTGCTGGGAACATATTGATGAACATGACAGGTATGGATCTTACAGTGTAGTGGGACATACAGACAATAGTGGGATGCTCAGTTATAGAATTAAAATTGTGATCAGCCCTAACTAGTTTGGCTCAGTGGATAGAGTGTCAGCCTGCGGACTGAAGGGTCCCAGGTTCGATCCCAGTCAAGGGCATGTAACTTGGTTGCGGGCACATCCCCAGTAGCAGGTGTGCAGGAGGCAGCTGATCGATGTTTCTCTCTCATCGATGTTTCTAACTCTCTATCCCTCTCCCTTCCTGTCTGTAAAAAATCAATAAAATATATTTTTTAAAATTGTGATCAGTATTTGGAAACCAGGGGGTCTAATCCTAGACCTGGGGATTAGAGAACAGCTGTGTAAAGTCCAAGAAATGAGGAACATCAGATGACTTGGAGGAAAAGAGCTCCAGGTGGAGTTAGGGTGGAGAGGTAGAACTTCCAGAGCCTTACAGGATTTGTTCTTTGTCCTGAGGCTGGGGAGAGTTTGGAGGACTTACAGGCTGGACAGTGGCCAGATGAATTGAAGTTTGCATTGTACAAAGGTGACTGCCATCAGGGTGGAAGTGGCAAGGAGCACTGCAGGGCGATGCATGGGGAATGGGGAGGAGACAGATATCCAGGAAGCAGGAGCAGTGAACTACAAGCTTCAAGTCCTTGTGGAAGAAAACCCCAGAATGTCAAGGACAGATGTTTCCCAGAGAAGCCACGTTAATATTGGGGCGGGGGGCATTGGTTCTTCTTAGCTGAGGTTTAGGCCAGCGGCCTATGATGGTTTGCTTAGTTAAATTAGACAAGTGGTTTGGTTTTAGCACTGATTTTTCTGTTGTTGCGAAGCCTCCTTTTGAGAAATAAAGGTTTTATAGCAAGTAATTTTGACTTTTATCAACTCCCAGAGTAATTTCAAAGCACTAATTAGACACTTCTCTGCAGCCTGCCAGCACTTTTTGTGTTTTTTAACTTGAGGAAGAGTTGTGTATTTTATCTATATGATATCAAGGTCGCAATAAATTGTTATGCTGTACTAAGGCTTGCTGGTTGCCTGAATTTTGTTCTATATCTTTGGATTTTTGTTTAGTTCTTAAATTACCATTTTCAGTGTAAGCTACCATAAATCTTGAAACTAATCATTTGCCTGAGAACCTTTATGATAAATGATCAAAAATAAAACAAAATTCTCAGGCTAAAAAAATAAAATAATTTGGTAGAGTTTCTTGTAATTTAACTGATGTTGGCATGTATATTTTGTATATAATTATGAACAAAACAACACTGATGTAAAATTATAAGCACTACTAAAGTTTTTGTTTAAATCTTAAATATGTCGCAGTGTGGATAAATATATAGGTATTCTTCCTGCTTTCTGTTACCTGTTTGTTTGCATTGTTGTTTTTCAGTCTTATGAATTTAAATGCCATTTGAGCCTCAGAAGTTTAAAATCTGCAGAAGCAGTAACTTTTGATTTATGTTTCACTAGTAAGTAGATTGAATCTGGTCATTTTATTCTCAGCAGATAAGAATTCTGATGAAGGAGGATCAGAGATTCAATGCATGCAAAGTAGCCTAAGAGAGCAAAAGTGTAATTAACTTATTGATTACAATTGAGGTGTAGATAGCAAGCACTTTCTGAACCTTCTCCTAAGATTAAAGAAAAACTTGTAATGAAGTGCAGAATGTTCTTAAGGAATCCAGTCATATCATACATTCTCAGGAGAATTAGCTCTTGAGCTTTGAGAAAATAAAGAGGCAGGCAAGATATTTTATTTACATACTGAATTGTGTAAAATGTTTCAAAAATAAATGAGAAGAAGGTTGACTTTTTAAAACTTTTCTATGGTACTTATGAACCTTTTCCCATGACTTAGAAAAGGCTACCTTTTATCCAGAGAGAAATCCCATGTCATTTGTCATTCTTTTACTACCACATGTGATTCTCTGCCAGCACATCTCTGCTCTTTGGGGGACATCTTTTTAGGTCCTTCACAGAGGAGACTTTCATGGTCTTTGAGGTTCTGTTGTGTCTTTCAGGCCCATCATATAGGATAGTATTAATGTTTCGGGTAACGTGCTTTTCTAGTAGAAACTAATTTTTAATATTTACCTATGCTAGTTAATGATTGGATTTCCCATCAGAGCAATTTCTTTTTTCCAGTGATCTCTTGCAGTGGTTTTGTTGAGAGTGGTAAGTAGAGCAGAGTGTTTGCTGGGTGCAAGCTCCTGAGCATTTTGTAACCCAAAAGGTGGAAACAGCTGATCGTTTCAAACTTTGCCTGTATGTTGGAATAATACAAATTCTTCTTAGTCTACGTTTTGGAATATATAGGTTTTTAGTGGATATTTTAACCCTTTGAATAGGTAATATAGTCACGTGGTTCACACTTCACAAGATAGCAAAAGTTGACAATTCAGTGCAAGAATTCCTATGACGGAGCCACAGTGAGTTTCCTCTCCACCCTCTTCCATCTGCATAAACTGGTTTCCATACGCATCTTCATAGCATCCTTTTAGACCGTGTGTGTTGACCTTTCTTTGACACTGTGTTTGAGTTTATATTTTTTGAGTATCTTTTTGATTTGACTGAGGTGTAACCAGTCAAATACTCTCCATATGCTCCAAGTCCTCATGAGGGTTAAACTTTTTGAAGTGCAGCTTTCCATCCCTAAGCAACATGGTTTGCTTAGGGCCAGGTTTTAATGTCCTCTAGGAATTAGTTCTATTTCCCCCCATTTATTCACTTAATTAAAACATTTATCAAGGACTTTTCAAATATACACAAAATAGCAATCCTTAGATATGTGATTCTTAAAATAGGGATCTAGATTCACAAGACTCATTACCTGTTTAAAAATAGAAGTCTCAAAAAAAAAGGTCTTACTGCAGATTTACCACTCATTGTTAAGAAGACAAAAATATAACATTTGATCTGATATGGAAATATCTCCAAGATAAGTTAAGTGAAAAAAATAAGGTTCAGCAGAGTGTTTATTGTATACACCTTTTATTTTTTTAAAAAGGAAAATAAAATACATATTCACATTTACTTGTATACATCTAAAGTAACTTTGGAAGGATGCAATAAGAAAACCAAAGTAGGAACAGGGAAAGAGACTTTGAACCATGTGAAAGTATTAAAAATATAGCACAATAATGGTTGTTTCCCCAGGAAAATCTCTAGATTTAGGTAGCAGGTCTTTTGACAATACCAAATTTATTTAGAAATAAATTGTAAAATTCACTTTAAAGAGAAACGTTTATTTAAAAATTTACAATTTGAAAGTATAGTATAATAATGGTTGTTTCCCCCTGGAAAATCTCTAGATTTAGGGAGTAGGTCTTTTGACTGTGCCAAATAGTCCATGAACTGACAATTATGAGAAATATGCTTTAAAGACTACCTTCTTATCCCTACCCCCAAATGGCAGAGAGCTTATTTTATTGTAACCTATTTTCCCTTTTCTTCCCCCACCCTCTTTTTTTAAAGGCTGGTGGGGTAGCAGGTGTCTCTGTTGATTTGATATTATTTCCTCTGGATACCATTAAAACGAGGCTGCAAAGTCCCCAAGGATTTAATAAGGCTGGTGGTTTTCATGGAATATATGCTGGCGTTCCTTCTGCTGCTATTGGATCCTTTCCTAATGGTAAAAATTGTATGGGTATTCTCCTGCTATAAAGCCACGATAATAGGATTATTTTCAGAATGGTGGGTGGTGGTACTACATATAGAATTTCTTACTTGTTGGGACTTCTGAATTTGTTTTCCATTCATTAACCAATTATTTTAATCAGCTGTAGATCCCATTACACTGTATTTATAATAGAAAAAATATGAGTAATCTTTTAAAAATGGTTTTTGTTGTTAACATTTCCACTTAGAATCCTTAAAGTGTTCTAACATTAATTGTGATGCCTTAGAGCAGTTTCTCAACCTTGCCTGCACATTGAAATCTCTCGAGAAGTTTTAAGAATTACTGATGCCTGTGTCACACCCAGAAGTTTAATTGGTCTGGGCTTTGCAAGGTTTTAGTAGCTTCCCAGGTGATTCCAGTGCGAAGGTGAGTTTAATAGCTGCTGCCTCGGAGAGTCTTCTGAAGCTGATGAATCTAAGAGGCATTACACCTTTTTTGTCTTCACGGAATTGCTCTTAGCTGATGCAACCAATTCTGCTAACCTCCTCGATACTCTCCTCCCAGTGTCTTGCTAAAGTCACATTATATGATGTATGGCCTCTTATTCTAGAATCAATATCATCTGTTTTACTTAATCCACTTGTTGGTATACTGTACTTTTTTCAGATATTTACCTCATTTTAATTGTTTATTGATATTTTGTGTGGCATTGGAAAGCAACCAAGCAAACAAAAAAATCACCACCACCACACACAATTATAGAACCTCTGCTGTAGGAGATTCTTAAATCCTGGGGTTCGATTTCTTTTTTCTCAAGATAATTTATGAGAAATTCTTTCAGGTTCACTTGACATTTAACTGTCCATCTGTGTCCCCACGTGAGCACAGCATTCACATAGAGGTTTGTGGTGCACTGTGCACAGTGTTTTGGTCCCTTTGTTTCTTTCTTTCCTCTTCCCCTTGCTCCATCAGTCCTGAGACAGCAAACTGTTTTGAGATTACCCTTGAGTTTTTATTTGTCGCGGTGCCTTCAGTAATTGATTATAGCATGTCATTGTTGAGCACCCAGGCAATGATAACTGTGTGTGTGGGCGGGGGGCAGGTTCCTAAATTTGACCACATTGCAGCCCTGTGATCGCCTGGGCCGATTTTGTGAAGTCCTGTTGCCTGTGTCCTGCTTCCAGTGATCTTGATTTAATTGATGGGCTGTGACCTGGGAGTTGGAAGTTTAAATTAAAAAAAAAAAAATCTCCAGGTGGTTTAATAAGCAGACAAATTTGGGAATCTTTGAACAAGGGAATTGAAAGGCATATGTTACTAAGTACCTATTACTAGGTCCCTATCTTTTGTTCGTCAGTTTTTGTTTTTAATCCTCACCGGAGGATATGTTTAGAGAGAGGGAGGGAGAGGGAGAGAGAGAAACATGTGAGAGAGGAAAACATCAATGGGCTGCCTCCCGTATGCGCCCTGACTGGGGATCTAATCCAAAACCTAGGCATGTGCCTTGACTGGGAATCAAACCTGAAACCTTTTAGTGCATGGGATGATGCTCCAACCAACCAAGCCACCTGGCCAGGGCTGTTACCATTTTTATGGTATCTCCATCATTGTCCTAAAGATGTCTTTTCCTTACAGATTGCACCTAGGAATCACTGTTGGTAGGTGTAGCATGGTCCATAGCAGCCGTGGGCAAACTACGGCCCGCCGGCCGGATCCGGCCCGTTTGAAATAAATAAAACTAAAAAAAAAAAAAAGACCGTACCCTTTTATGTAATGATGTTTACTTTGAATTTATATTAGTTCACACAAACACTCCATCCATGCTTTTGTTCCGGCCCTCCGGTCCAGGTTAAGAACCCATTGTGGCCCTCGAGTCAAAAAGTTTGCCCACCCCTGGTCCATAGTCTGCAGGGCACATGGTGCTCCATTCATCTCACAGCACTGGTTTAGATTCTTGCCATCAGGAGTTTACGTACAGAATGTGGTTTCAAATTTGTGTGTGTGTGATAAAGTGGTGCTCTTGCCAGGCCCCTTTATTTTTTATTTTTTCCATCCACAGAACATCATTGGATAGGAGATGCTGCCTAAATAGTGTCAGAGTTTCAGAAATGGTCTTTTTGGTTTTCTGTAAATTGTTGATGAATTGAAATTTTCTCTGTGGCACTTTTTTTTTTTTCCTGTTGTTTTTGGTTCAAGTCCTAGTCTGAGTAATATTCAGTGGTGTTGGGGGCAAGTTTCTCAGCCAGGGACTTGATCCCTCTGGGTGTAGGAAATTGGAACAATACACGGGTGACAGTAGGTAAGTGGGACATGCATTATTATGAACAAAGTAGCCCAAAACTGGCTCATCAGTGGCAACTTATATACACGCTCAAACAAAAGAGGCCTCCTGCCAATTAGTGCAGCTCGTGCTACATTAACATAAGCAGGGCATATAAGGGTGCGCTGGCGCAGTAGTATATTGCTCCTGCTGAGTCATTGCCCTCGTGCATGTGTAGGGCAAAGGGGCCTTTAACATGGTAATACTGCTGTGTCCTTGGCTGCTCGCATGCGTATGGTGAGTAGGCCTTGAACCTCCAGTGGATTCTGGTCAGGGCCTGGCAAGTGGCTGTAGCCTTTTTTTGAGAAGGTATTCTGCAGGGGTGAGTTGTTGGGGACGGAGGGGACTGAAGGTCGAAAGAGGAGACAAAAAGACCTGATTATGGATTCCTACTCCCTTTAGAAGGGAATGTAGAAAACCCATAGCAGTGGTTTTTTTGTTTTGCTTGTTTTGTTTTTTAAGAGCTGCAAGAGGCTGTAGATATCAGGTAGCCCACCCACTCTTCTTTGTTGTAACTTGCCTAGAGCCTCATTTGGAAGCTTATTTTGCCATCATTTCCAATTGGCAAGGGCTTTCTTGGGTGTCACCCAGGAGACTTTGGGCTTACATTTCTAAAGGACTTGGTCTATCATAAAAGTAGCAATATGGTCTGACCAGGTGGAGGTGGTTAGCCATTAAAACCTGAAACTTTTAGCAGTCTTTCTCCCTTCTCCCAGAGGCGGTGGGAGGGTGGATTGTGTAGCAGGTGGAGGAGCTGTTCCAGTTGTATTTTAATGAGTGGGCTAAAGGAGTGAGTGTGTCTCCTTAGGAACCACCAATGGAAACAGGGACCTGTGTTGACTACATAAAACTGCTTTCATGGGTCTTTGCTCTTCAGGGGACAGGCGCTTCCATTGATGTGCGTTAGTTACCAGCCTGAGGAGTGTTGACAACAATAAAGCTTCACTATCAAACTCCTTTCCTGTGTGTTTCAGACTTTAATGTGACATGTTCAGATGTCTTTCAAAAGATGAATTTGTCTTTCATTTATTTTCTGTGCCTTATCTTTTGTGACAGTGATGAACATGCTTTGGTTTGCAATACATGGCAGGCCGTAAAGCCTCTGCAGCTAGATCAGTGCATGGTGATAGGAGTAGCTGTTGGAGATTTTGATTTCCAGTTTTAATTGTTTCCTTGATGTAAAGTGGGTTGATGTAGTAAAAAGTATCCATGGTTATTTTGAATAAACAGCAATAAAATATCATTAGATGTTTTATTTAGTTAAGGTTTATGTTTGTAATTTTAACCTGTCTATACTGATTATTTTATGTTTGTATAGGGATATTTTATCCCTTTCTAGAAAGCTTACTAAAAATGTCAAGTGATTTGTTAGTACAAAATGGTAAATACTAGGTTATCTATGAGGCTCCTTTGGGGCAGGTATCATGTCTTCTGCATTTTCATAAGTCCAGGGTCGGGCATATAATATGGGTTTGGTAAATTCTGCAAAAGTGAGGAGAGTAGGGAAAGAATATGTGTTTATTATTTTTATCTTGTTATGTCATAATTTATTAACAAAAGTTGTAATTTTTTTGACAAACGTATTTGCTGACTTTGTGAAAGACTGGCTTGTTTAAATTTCAGCTGCTGCCTTTTTTATCACCTATGATTATGTGAAATGGTTTTTGCACACTGATTCATCTTCACATTTGATGCCTGTGAAGCACATGTTGGCTGCCTCTGCTGGAGAAGTGGTAAGTAATGTATATAAAATACTTCAGAAATATAATTATGCATGTATCTTCATATATGCACAGTCTCTATACAGATATTACTTTATTTTTTAATGAAATAAAAAAGACAGTATTTTTTAAGCTATGAAAGTTATTCATTTTAATAAACGTAAATAGGTTAAACATAATAATTAAAAAATAGAATCTAGATAGGATGAAAGAAAAATTCAGCTGTGTGCTATATGCAAGAGACAGACCTGAAACAGAAAGAGTAAAATTAAAGAGGGAAGAAAACATCCATGTAAATTGTGGTGGCTTTGTATTATGTCAACATAGAACTGAGCTGAAACTCTTTTTCCCAGAACTCCCTTTCCAGGACGGTTCCAGGTTAGGCTGACCACAGGAAACATTTGTACAAGAGGTGTAAGGCGGAAGTGAAGCAGATGTGTTTATGCTCGGAAGGTTGGTGTAGGGTCAGGGGTGCTTGCACTTCATACACCTCCTCACTGACCTGGGGACTCAGGCAGCCGCTGTAGCTCCCTTAGCTTCTCTGCATTCTGAGTCCAGAGGTGTGGGCGCTGTGGTGAGGGTGGCAGCTTGTACTGCAGGTCACTCTCATCAACTCAGAGACAATGTGAGTTTGTCCTGTTTGTCCTGGATTTCCCCTCTTTCCTTCCTGATCCCCTGCCCTGTGACTTCTGTCCCAACACTACACATAGGAGTTACAGTTCTACATAAACTGCTTACCCAGCTCCCGCAGTTACTGTTCACATTCCTATAACCTCCATTCTTATCAGTCATAGTGGTTCTACTTCTGATCCACCCTGCCTGATACAGAGCTACTAACTGGAAGAGCTGATAGAATAATGTTAATACCAGACAAAAAAGGCTGAAAGCAAAAACCAAAGAGAACATTGTGTAATGATACAAGGAACAGTTCTCCTGAGAGATGTAATGAACCAGAACCTGGACTAAATAGCCCAGGCTCAAAATATAAAACAAGAATTTCCAGAATTATAAGGAGAAATGATTAAAAATGTAATCTACCTATCAACACAACAGCAAGATTGATCTAATAGCTATGTATAGAGCTCTGCACCTAACAAAGATTATTAATTTTTATGAAGTATACTTGGAATATTAATTAAAATGTATAACCCAGTAGTTCACAAGCAACTTAAAACAAATAGTGTAGAGACAATATCATTAAATCATTTGGTTGCTGATTATAATGAAGTAAAATTGGAAAGCAATGATAGATAATCTGTCCATCCCTACCATGGGCTTACAAAACTATCTGACCTTCTCTCTCATAAATAATTCATGAGCCAAAAAAAGAAATGATAATATAAGAGATAAAATATTTATAATTACAAAATAATTCAGGGTTATTTTTTCCTAAACTAACACAGAGGAGAAGGGAGCCAATAACATTTTCCCACTTTCCTCACCCACTTACCTTTCTCTCAGCCCTGCTGCCCAATACTAAGGGACAACCTCTGTTAGAATTGTCTCCATTCATAAATTTCTGTTCTTTACTATTGTTGTCTTTAAAACACACAGTCTCGTGTTTATGCTGCCCCAGCCTTGTGGGTAGGAGTGGACAACAAAGTGGAGAGAAAGGGTCTCCTTTATGAACCTTTTGTTATTTTATCAAGTAACTTTTTTTTTTTCTGTTTTGGAAAGTAGTGGTATAAATTAATGTTAGAAAATTTGGAAAGTGAATCAGTTTTTATAGCATTTACATGAAAAGTAATTATATATTACTAGAGGCCTGGTGCACAAAAATTTGTGCACTCGGGGGCAGGGGGGGGGGTCTCTCAGCCCGGCCTGTGCCCTCTCGCAGTCTGGGACCCCTCAGGGGATGACCACCTGCTGGCTTAGGCCCGCTCCCCGGGGGATTGGGCCTAAGATGGCAATCAGACATCCCTCTGGCAGCCCAGCAGCCCTCGGGGGATGTCCACTTGCCAGCGGGGAGCAGGCCTAAACTGCAGTCGGACATCCTTAGCGCTGCTGAGGAGGCAGGAGAGGCTCCCACCACCACCGCTGTACTGGCAGCCATCAGCCTGGCTTGTGGCTGAGCAGAGCTCCTCCCGTGTGAGAGTGCCCTGACCACCAGAGGGCAGCTCCTGCATTGAGCATCTGCCCCTGGTGGTCAGTGTGTGTCATAGTGACCAGTCATTCCCAGTCCTTCTGCTGTTAGGGTCAGTTTGCATATTACCCTTTTACTATATAGGATAGAGGCCTGGTGCATGGGTGGGGGCCGGCTGGTTTGCCCTGAAGGGTGTCCCGGATCAGGGTGGGGGTCCCGCTTGGGTGCCTGGCCAGCCTGGATGAGGGGATGATGGCTGTTTGCAGCTGGTCACACCCCCTTCAGGGTGGGGGTCCCCACTGGGGTGCCTGGCCAGTCTGGGTGAGGGGCTGAGGGCCGTTTTCAGGCTGGCGGGTGACTGAAGCTCCCAGCCTCTCCTTTTTTTCTGTTTTTCTTTTTTTTTTTTTTTATTCTGGGATTTATTTACCTTCTATGGCTGTCACTGGAGCTGAAAGCTGGCTCCAGCTCTGAGGCCTGGCTCCAGCTCTGAGGCTGCAGCTGGCTGAAAGCAGGTATCTGGGTTTGTTTAGGTTCTATAATTGAAACACTGTTGCCATCACTGCCGCTCTAAGCTCTGAGGCTGAAGCTGGCTGAAAGCAGGTTTCTGGAGCTTGTTTAGCCTCTATATTTGCAACATAGTTGCTTAGACTGCAGCTCAGAGGCCGGCAGCGGCAGGCGGGGAACCTTGGCTTCCTCCATCACTGGAGCAAGCAAGCCTCCTGTTCACTTCAGCTGCCTGGCTGCCGGCCGCCATCTTGGTTGGCAGTTAATTTGCATATCACCCTGATTAGCCAATGGGAAGCGTGTCGGAGGTACGGTTAATTACCATGTTTGTCTATTATTAGATAGGATAGTTTTGTTTTCTATGCATTATTTTCCTTTAGAAAATTTGGATGAAAATCTATAAACTTTTGTAATAGAACTTTTTTCACTTGAGAATATAGAGAATAGAGATGATGAAAAGAGAGAGAGATCCTGACTGAAAAGTAAAAGTAAATACTAACTTTAAGAAGACAATTAAAAAAATAACAGCTTTATTGAGGTACAATTTACATACGCTATGATTTACCCATTTAAAGTTTAATTCACTGGTTTTTAGTATATTTGCAGAATTGTGCAACCATCATCACAGTTTTGGAACATTTTCATCACCCCAAATGGAAACCCTGTTCCCATTAACAGTCACTCTCCTTTCCCCAACCTTCCCGGCCCGAGGCAGCCACTCATCTATTTTTTGTCTTTGTGGATTTGCCTATTCTGGCCATTTCATAGAAATGGAATCCTACAGTATGCACAAGGGTTCTCTTTTCTCCACATCTGCACCAATACTTGTTATTTCTTGTCTTTTTGTTAATAACTATAAAATCTAGAAAGGTGAAAGAAATTATCCTGAGAGACATTAAGATTACTGAAGTGCTTTAAATAAAATTTCCTTTTGCCACTGGTTTAAAAATGATTTTGTAGAATCCAAGTTAACCTTAGATTAAAAATAATTGCCTTCATAATTAACTGCAGTTATAAAAGTGGTAGACTAACATATATTCATTTTTTAAAAGCAAATAACATAAAGTAGTAGTTCTTTTTATAAGCTGAAGACCCCTTTAGGAATCTAAAGAAACCTATGGCTATTCTTCCAGTAAAGTGGACATGTGGACATTTGCATAACATTTCTGGGGATTTTCAGTTCTTCATATTCTTACTCAAAGTAAGCACTGCATTGCTTGAATGCTATCTGAAAATTAGCTTAAACTGTAAGTTGAAAGCAGTTTATACTTAATTTAAAAATCTTTTAACCTGTTATCCTTGGTTTAAATTTTTGTACTATTGTAGTGAAATTAGAATCTCATTACATGCAGTTATTTTTTTTTTGAGTGCATGTACGTTCTAAAGAATAGCAAATCATATATGAGCATTTCAGTGTCTTAGGTCGTGAAAATTCTGTACTTATGACACTTTTTGCGTCTATTTTAGAATTTCATGCTGCTTAGATTAAAGTTAAATACATTTTCACAAATTCAGTATTTGGCTTACATTTTAATATGTTGCTGAGAGCAAGCAGCAAAAATAACTGGGCCACTTATTTCATTTCATGTAGGGCCATCTTGCCTGAAAGCTAGTTTGCAATGTTGAAGGACAGACTTTCCTATCTCTCTCTTAGAATTACAAAAAAAGTATTTAAACTGATATGATGAGGTAGGTCAAATGAGAACTGTTAGATTATTCATGTTAATGATACATCTTTTCATTTGTAGACAATGCTGTATATTCTAATACTTTAATATCTGTAACTGACTATTTTTTTTAATCCTCTCCTGAAGATATTTTTTTTTCCATTGGTTTTTGGAGTGGAAGGGAGGGAGAGAGGGGAAGAGAGAGAGAAACATCTATGTGAGAGAGACCCATCGAATGGTTGCCTCCCTCACTCGCCCCAAATGACTGGGGATGGGGATTGAAACCGCACCCCAGGTATGTGCCCTTGATGGAGTGTTGGTGCATGGGCTGACACTCTAATCATTGAGCCACACCGGCCAGGGCTGTAACTGACTTCTTTAAAATATGGAAGTTCACTCATACAACTTAACAAAAGGAAGATAAACAACCCAATCAAAAAATGGGCAACGGACCTAAATAGATACTTTTCGAAAGAGGACATAAGGAAGGCTAAGAGACATATGAAGACATGCTCAAAGTCACTAATAATCCTCGAGATGCAAATCAAAACAACAATGAGGTACCATCTCACACCTGTCAGAATGGCTATCATCAACAAATCAACAAATGACAAGGGCTGGCGAGGATGTGGAGAAAAAGGAACCCTCGTGCACTACTGGTGGGAATGCAAACTGGTGCAGCCACTGTGGAGAACAGTATGGAGTTTCCTCAAAAAACTAAAAATGGAACTCCCATTTGACCCAGTGATCCCACTTCT